AACTCCTTCAACGCATACGTGCTCATCTCTCTGACTAAGAAGTCGGCGTCGCGCAGTTCAGAAACGAACGATGGCATCAGTCAGCTGGCCAGCTTTTCGCATTTAATTGCGTATTCGATCACTGCAGGTGGCAGCGCCGCTTTGCATGCGGCAATCGGTATCGTCTCTTTCCTTGCTGTCAGAACACCTTCGGCAATTTACAAATGGACACATTTCGGCCTCGCCGTCGTTCTCGTTGTTGCTGGTCTGTGTATTTCCATAGAAGCTTCGAGATCAGGCCGCGACGACTTTATACGTTTTGGCGGGCATACCGCTATCTACTACCAGGCATTATACTATGGCAGTTTCTCTCAATCAATCTACGGCGTCGCCGGCGTAATTTTGACTGCAATTGCTTTCGTCGAGTCTGCATTCTCATGACCACTAGCTCGCATCCTTCATTAGGAGTATCGTCATGAGCTCCTGGGCGAGCCGTCATTGTCCAATTTTATGGGTCGTATCGGCAGATCTATCATGAAGAGCCTCCAGCTTGTAGAGGTTACGAATTCTGCGGCCTCTGCCGAGACGACAGATCTATAGGAAAAGCGTTAGCATACACAGCATGTGCGCTCCACCCCCTCTCCCAAGCAAGGGAACGGTTACAAGTGCATCACGCTAATGAGCTGCGGAAGGCGCCAAAAAAAAAAGATATCATTTCTGTATTCCTAATCTCTAACACCACTCTAATGGTTTCATCGCTACCTACTCGGCAGACGAAGGCCAGGAACTCATGCGCTAGGAAGCGGCGGATAGGCGAAAGGATCGTCCCCTTGGAGCGGGCACGTATTGATGAGGAGTGACAGCTGGCCTTGGAGACCTTGCAGACTCTCGTTGACCCTGCATGTACAATTAGTAATTGTCTGCACTCTTTCATGATCACATACATCTTCTTCAAGCTGTTGTAGGCCTCTTCGAGTTGCTTTGTGACGTTCTTGACGCTCTCCAGTCCCTGCTGCATGGATTTCAATTCTTTCTTACGCGTCTCCGCCTCTCTTCGAAGATATTCTATCTCCTGGCCATGATTTTCATACCCGGCAGATGCGGAGGCACCGTCTTGACTCATGGAAGGCAGATAGGAGAGTGGCGGGCCCTCCTCCGGGCCCCTCTCTCGCATGCTCTCAATCATGCGTTTTAGTCTTTGAGGATCGCGTTAGTATATGTTCTGGTGCATGCTCTGGTACGAGATCCCCGCCTATCATATCGTGCTTACTGATTCATTGTGTTCATCAGGTCTTCCGGTCTGCATCTGTAAGTTGGAGCGCTGGTAGCCGAGACGGACCTAGGCAAACTTACGAGGCATCAGACGGTGGAGCGGCGCTCATCATGGCGTCGGCCATCCTGAGAAGTATTAGGCACGGAATAGGAAGACGAGGACAGTGATATCAACGCACGGTAGGGGACCCGTTCCGGCTCCATGGCCAACCCGAAAACCCGCGGCACGAGTATCCTCTTGGAGTGCAGCAGCATCTAATGCATCGCCGCTCGCTTGATACAATTGGGGAAGGCCATACCGGGCGCCGTTCCCTGGCGCTGGTTTCGATCTGAGCCAAAGGTTTTGTGTCCCGTGCTGCTGCGACTGGGCGCGCCGTGACTGGAGGCCGTTACTCTGTCGTGCTTGCATGGTGGATTCTGTGTACTGGAACAGGTCTCGAAAAAGAGGTCGATACTTGCATCTGACATATATAGTGCCCGAACATGAGTGGTTATGTTGTGTCCATGGATTGCGCACTCATTTGAGAAGCGATGGCAGAGGCAAGGTGACCAGCTCATGGTACGAATACAGGGGGATGCTGCGACACACAATAGCGGTAGCCGTAGTATCCCGTCCACTGTTGGACCACGCCCACTTTCTGGCACTGAATCTATCCTGGTGTCGTATGCAGCGGCCATTAGTAGCCAAGGAATGCAAAAGCAAGTAGAAAGCACGATTTGAATAATCTTTCTTTTTTCTTACTTTCTTTTGAGTGGGCTTGGGATGCAGCCTGTTCCAGACCCCCCAAGAGATGGACAAGTGCAGGAAAAGGCTTTGCCTTTTGAGTCACC